TTGGCAAGGTTACAGAAGTACCAGTGTTTAACAAACTCCCACTGGCAGGCATCAGCAATAACCAATGTTTAACCCCATTGGCAAGGTTACAGAAGCACCAGTGTTTAACAAACTCCCACTAGCAAGCGTCAGTAATGGTACCAATGTTTAAAAAACTCCCACTGGCAGGTGTCAGTAATTGTACCAATGTTTAACAAACTCCTATTGGCAGGCGTCAGTAATTACCAATGTTTAACCCCATTGGCAGGATGAACCGGTTCTACAAAAATACATGTCGACATGTGCTAGCGTTTGCAACTCCCACTAGCAGGCGTCAGTAATCATGACTATATCAGAGACAAAACCATGCAGGATTTACAGAAAAATCCGTAATTCACAATCAATCTCCCATTTTAGAAATAAACCGAAAAATTTCCATGTGAGCATGGATTTAACAGAAAAACTCAGAATTTACAAAACTCTCAGTTCATCAAAGCAGTTCAGTCAATTCCAAATAGGCATGCTCTACTCAATGCCAATGAAAATAATTTCATGTGGGCATGCTCAACTCCAGAAAAACAATGAAATTCTCATTTTCATTCCAATCATGCTCAATTCCAGAAAATAATAATTTCATAAAAATCATCACAATTTTCATTTCAGTTTAATCACACTCAGATGCTGATAAAATCAATTTAAAACTTGCCACCATCTCAAAAACAATTTAAAACATGCTTTGAAATCGAAGGGCTTTACCATAATTTACTTGCCTCACTCGCTCAGAATAGAAGGCTTAACCCAAATGCTACGGTGACAAACGATCAAAACCTAATCACAATATTCCAAAGTTAATACCGCACTACCACAAATTCAAAATGAAATCATCATTAGCACTACCCTTAATCATAGTGCTACTTCTATCAATCTCCACATGATCGGACCTCTCCAAATTTATTCTTATATTACAAACTAAACATTTAAATCCCCGTCAATTGTTGGCTATCAGTGCGTGAACAGTGCCCATGAATAGTACCTCGTGAACAGTACCCCATGAACAGTAACTGTAACTTTCAAAAATTGGCAAAACAACAACTAATCTCACGGGATTTTCATATAAACATCATAGCAATTTAATCAAGCTAATTCTACCTTAATCAAGCTTAAAAAGTGGTTTAAGGCTGCTGCAGCATTTCCCAATCTCACAGGCAGCACATGGAGGAACCGGACTTGGCAAAGCAATAGCTAATTCATGAGATTTTCACACAAAACATCACAGCAGCCAATTCAAGTAATTCCCACATAATTTAAACAACGAAACATATTTAAAAAGGCTGCCAAATTCATCCCCTATCCCAGCAGATTCGGAAAACACAGAGCATCAACTAATGGACAAAACCCAGCAATTAAATGGGTAATTTCGGACTTAATGGGGCTGTCAACATACCATAATTTCCAGCCAGCTGCAAAACCGGACCTGGCGGAGGGAAGAAGCCGGCGGCAATTCTGCAGGGGGGGCTCACAGGCTACCTCAAAATTGAGGGAAATAAAAAGAAATTAGAATAACCCAACTTGAATCAAGGCTAGTGTAAGTATAGGTCCGAGGTGCCAAGCCTTGGACTGCTACAGTAATTCCTTTATGACTGAAGTGAGGAATAAGTCCAAAGCTTCCCGCTCAATTAGCTGCATGACAATGACAATAGGTACGCTCGCATCTGATTCCTTATGATGAGTGGCACAGCAAGTATGGTGGACGCTTGTGCATCTAAATACTTCTCAAATTCCCGGTCCCGAAATAATCGTTTGGATGGACACGTCAAGCTCCGATTATCTTGCTTGGCATGACACGTGGGTTCCTCATTGGATCCTATAAATACCCCCCCGGGCCACGTCAAAAAGGTAATTGAAACCAACCCTAAGCTCTTTTTATCTCCGCCTTAAAGGTAGCCCCGATTATTGCTGACTTAAGCATCGGAGTGTCTACCCCGAGTTCCACCTCGGGGCTTTGCAGGTCACTTCGGAGTACAAGCGCAGACTGAAGAAGGACTTCT